TGTTAGCATCAGAACAGCTGTTAGCTGTTAGCATCAGAACAGCTGTTAGCTGTTAGCATCAGAACAGCTGTTAGCATCAGAACAGCTGTTAACATCAGAACAGCTATTAGCTGTTAGCATCAGAACAGCTGTTAGCTGTTAGCATCAGAACAGATGTTAGCTGTTAGCATCAGAACAGATGTTAGCTGTTAGCATCAGAACAGCTGTTAGCTGTTAGCATCAGAACAGCTGTTAGCTGTTAGCATCAGAACAGCTCGTCTCTTCATCACAGCTTCCTGTGTTGAAGCTGTAAACAGAGACTGTTTTTTTCTGGATCACTTCCTGGCAAAGAAAGAAAAGAAAGGATGAAAGAAAGACAGAACCCCCCCAGGAGGTCCAGGTCCTGACAGGTCCTGACAGGTCCCGACAGGTTTGTTTAAAAATAACCCGTCAGCTTCTTACACCACCTCCAGATCTCTGCTTCTTGTCTTTTAAATGAAAGGATGAGTTAAAGCCTGAGAATAAAACCACCTGAGCAATAAAAAAAATAAAAATCCCGTATTTGTCATTAAAAGTCTCCTGCAGGATAATCACCGGGTGTAACGGAGCAGATCAGACCTGCTGACATGATGTCACCACACCTGTAATTATCTCACCTGGAGGTGGAGGCAGGAGAACACACACATCTGCACACCTACCTGAATCAACTGTCTGTTAGCAAAATATTTCATAGTAGCTGGTAGTAGCTGATAGTAGCCGGTAGTAGCTGGTAGTAGCTGATAGTAGCCGGTAGTAGCTGGTAGTAGCCAATAGTAGCCGGTAGTAGCTGGTAGTAGCCAATAGTAGCTGGTAGTAGCCAATAGTAGCTGGTAGTAGCTGGTAGTAGCTGGTAGTAGCCGATAGTAGCTGACAGTAGCCGATAGTAGCCGATAGTAGCTGATAGTAGCGGATAGTAGCCGATCGCAGCTGGTAGTAGCTCATAGTCATCGACAACACAGACTTTGAGCACTAAAGTACAGTGGTGGGCACAGCTAATCAGTTAGCTCCAATACTAATCGACTAAACAAGAATCCAAGCTCCGCTAATGCTAAACCGCTAAACAGATTCAAAACTAGAGGAAGCTAATGCTAACTGCTAAGGTGACTGTCAGTCTCCTTCTAGTTGAAGACGGGTGGGTGTGATACAAAGCTGTTGCTAGTTTTTTATTGGTTTAATTTGAGGTGGGCGGGACCATCTGTGGCAAATCGTCCAATCCAAACCAGTTATAACTGTTAAACTTGTGATACTTTCAGAATAAAAGCATTTCTTTGCACCAGTTTGTATTTTTATAAATACTGTTTGGAGTTAGTCAAACAACAAATAACAAATATGTTCTCAAATATAAATTATTATCTAACTAAATATTAAATGTTACTTTATTCTTAAAGGTTTGAAATTTAGCCGCTAAAGATGCTACATGCTACACACACTGATACATCCAGCACTGATTGTTAGGAGATAATTGTTATAATTCAGGATATATGGTATAAAAACTGAAGTTTTACAATTATGTATATTTTAGTAAGCTTAAAATTAGCAGAATTTGCTAAAGTTAGCAAAAAAAAAAGAGGCTAATCTGCTAAATGAGGAGCTAGTTCCGCTATTAGCGGGTTAGCGGAACTGTGCCCAGCACTGCCAAGTCGTATATGTACATAATTTCCTTTTTTTTAGGGTTGACCAAACTGGTTACAAGTGTAAAATTGTTGTGTGGAAGGCGGCGGGTGACATTTCTCCAAGTTTAGACTGGTGTAAACAGAATCTGAAGCTACGCCACAGAACAAGGAGATGATGTGGTGAGATAAACATGTTGTTGTCCAGAAGATCCTTAAAGATCCTCATGTGGGACATCACTGTCCTGTTAGACCGCTTAATGATACGGCTAAAGGAGGGGTGGAGGTCAGGTGTGTGTGTGTGTGTGTGTGTGTGTGTGTGTGTGTGTGTGTGTGTGTGTGTGTGTGTG